AAAATATCAAAGTGATGATCTCTAAAGAGAAAGAGAAAAGAGGATATAATGAGGATGAAGTGAAGGATCCTATAAACAAGGAAGAAGCTTTATTTAACAATTACTTAGAAGAATGTCTGAAAGAATTATATTAATACAAGAAGTAAATTACGAGTTTTAAAAGAAAAAAAATAAAACAAGAGGAACTTCAAAGAAGAGAAAAAAGAGAAAACCTCAAGTATCTTTATGAAGAATTAACAAGAAGCTACCTTCAACTACAAGACATATTGGAGAAGAGAATTATAGATAATGAAGAGAAAGATACTAACTAAATGGTAGACAATTTGAAGATATTACGAAAGAAACTTTTAGAGAAGATTTTAGTGAGTTCAGGAGAAGTTCTAATCCAAGCAAGAAGAAGTAAGAAGACTAGAACAAACTGAAAAAGCAGAAAGAAAAAAGTAAAGAAGAAAACTCTATTACAGAGTAGAGAACTATTAACAACTAACAAAAAAAATAAAGAAGAAGAAAGGAGAAGTATTGAAGAGTTAAGAGTTAAGTTATCTGCAGAAAAATATAAAGTAAAATGTAGATAGTATAGTATTTTTATGAAAGAAAGGTATTTTAGATAGCCAAATAGAATTAGGATTAGATAGATTAGAATTAAGTAATAGCATAGCAGAAGGGTATTCAAATAAACTTGACTCAATGAAACTAAATCAAGACCTCTTTAAGATCTATAAGGCTTCTGAGACAACTTGGTATTAGCCTTTTAGGCAGAGACTATTAAACTCTATTTAGTGTAGCAGACCGCTTTTAGGCATCTATAGAGACAGCTGAGAGATGTCAGGCCTAAATATTAAGCTCAATATTATGTAACTAGTTTTATATAATAATCTTAATAAAGAATCACTAGCAAGGTTGCTAAAGAAAAAAAAAAACTATAGCTTAAGCTATGGTTGAAACCATAGCTAAAACTATGGCTTATTATACTTGTATTTATATATAATATAACAATAATTTTGTTTTATACAGTATAGTGGGCTTTATTATAATTGATGATTTTTAAAAATCATTTTATCATAATAAAGTATTCGATTTTCTGTCACAAGATTGAATTTCAAATTATGAATATAAATTTTGAGAGGATAAGACAAAAAAATTAGAAAGTTAACATCTTATTTTATAAACTATCAAAGCAATTTGGTAATTTACAAAGTACTTCAGAAGTTAGATGAGAAATATGGTTAAATATTTAAGTTTAATTTACAGGTTTAATAAATTAATTAAACTTAGTAATTTAAGTTGTTTTTTATGTATTTTGTAAAACTTATTCTTTATAACCCCAACTAATAAGAATCTTGACTATTATATAAGTTAAAATATGAAGTTGATAGTAATAAGGTTTATAAATTTCGTGGAAAGAATTAAAGTAAAGTAATAGTATTGTAATCGTTATACTAATTAAAGATCAGTTTGATATTGGAATGAACAAAAAGTTTATTTTTGATTATTTTTTATTAGCCATTAGTGTTCTAGAATAGGTTAAATATTTATTTCTTTTATTCTTTGTTAACAAACATTTTTATAATGAACTCCGGATATATAATGTAATAAAATTTTTAAAATTTATATTGTATATGAAAATACAAATAGACAAATAACAACTATTTAGATATGTACTAAATCTATCTTTATGATTGTTTAGTAATCTGCATTATTAAAAGATTGAGACTAGCACTAGGGTTTGTATAACTGTCAAGTATCAATTGTTAGATCGTATTCATGGATTCTAGTTCTTGAGATAATAGTAGCTTCTAAAACAGCCTGTAGTAAAAATAAATAAGTTAATTCAATAAATCACACCAACAAAAAAAAATATTTATAACATATAATTAATAATATTTTTCATATATTTGATATCATACTGTCATTAAATTTAAACTGACCAAAAACTGTTTTGGTAGAAGCATAGCAATATATATATCATGATATATTTTCAACATGAAAAATTAATATAGAAGGTCAATATGGATGTTTACAAACAGATATATCTAAAATTTTGCTATAATTCATATAAGTATTAATTTTAACAGAATGTTGTAAATATCAATTGTATTGAAAACACTTTATCTATATGATTAAAATTTTAAGCAAGTTGAATTGCATTTTTGTATGCGAGTATTTTTATTATATCTAAACAAAATTAAATATAATAATTATATTAGACTTATCATATTTTATTTATATAACATGTATAATACTTAGATTCTTTATACTGAAACTACTAATAGCTAAAAAAAAAGCAGAACATTATTCTAGAGATTTTTTTTTATCTCTGACAGTATCTTGTGACTAGTTAAAATTTCTGAATTTACTATGCAATAATAAATCGATTTTTTTCGAACTTTATATACGCACTATATAAGCTTATAATATCTATATTAGCAAATCAAGAAAAACTATGAACAACTTTACAAGTGTATGCAATATTTTGTTTCTGTGTGCTATGCACAGTTCACCAAAAATCAAAATTTCTATAATTACATGTAATTATGCAATGTCGCAGTGGTATATACATACATAATCATTGATTTTAGCTAATCAAAATTTGCTGATTCATATATTTAAAATCGCTAATGATAATAAAATCGCTAATACTAAATTTATTTCATTTTCATATGCTAGTTACAAGAACTTTTGTATTTTATTTATTCTAAATAATATTTATTGTAAATATTAATACTTATTATAATAAAAATTTTTTTAAATCAACTTATATTTACTATATAATAATATGATTGAACAAAATCATATAATGTTAGCCTTATAGCTTTTCTTGTTTACAAAAAAATCTATATTATACTAAAATTTAAGATACTAATGCTAAGATATAAAATACTAAAAAAAATATTCAATATACTTTTGTCTATTAATTTACTTGATTTTAGTTTAGCATACCAACACCTTGTTTCATCTAACTTTTTAGATAGAGTGACGTATAAGCAGTCTGAGGATAAAGACAGTTACAAATTTTTGTAAGAGTTCCTGCTGCAGTAGAGAAGACTTCCTCACAAGAAACACTTGTTTTTTGGATCAAAAGATAGTTTCATGCTATTTTCACAAGTGTTGAAAACTTGTGTTCATTTTCAGCCCACTATAAAAGAGAATTATTTTTAATAGTTGTTAGTATAGAAACATAGTATTCTAGTTCCTCTATTAAAGGTTGTTCAATTGCTTGTTGCTATATTAATAATGACTTAAAAAATTTTTGTTTATTTTTAGAAGTCAATTTAGAAGTAGAAGTGGTCGTAGTTGTTTGTGGGGCTTGTGATTTATAGTGAATCATTATATTTCGTAAGCTAGTAAAAGCAGCATCTTTATCACCAAAAGGAAAGATTATAAGCTTGAATGATGGGTCAAGAATTGTAGCAATCATAGTTGATTCTTTGAGCATGGACCAATATTCATCTAGTTTAGATTGAATAGTATCTGCCATTATATATTGTTCGGTCGAGCTTTATTCATTATTGATAAATTTACTAAAATAATGAAGAAGTCCCAAAAAAGTTAAATAAATATCAGAGATGGTTGGATATAAGCTTGATGATAATAATTCTGTTGTGATGAGCATAGGTTCTAACAATTTAATTACATAATCTACAACTTCCCATTCCTCATCATTAAGATAATGATTTTCAAGTTGTTTTTTATACGCAGTTGCAAGTAAACTTAACTCATCATGCATTTTTTTGAACTTATGAAGCATGTTATAGATACTGTTCTACTGCATGCTTAAATTAATATAATAAAATTAAGCAAATAGTAAGGGCAGTGTCATTTATCATCTGATTATTTTTTATCAGAGGCTTACTCCCCTCCCCTTCTTAATATAAAAAAAATTAGGTTCTTATATATAATTTTAACTTTTTTTACCCTCCTCTCCCCTAAAAAATCACCTGATTTTTGTTATATCCCTAAGTATTTATGAATTCAAATAACTTCTTTTAAAACACTTTAATATTAAATTATTTTTTATACTCACTTTATATTAAGAATTGGCTTGATATAGTTTTTATAGTTTATTTCACAAAATTGATGAAGTGCGTCATATAAGACAAAACTCCTAACTTTTTCAATTACTGATATTTTAAGTTGCATTCTGTTGTTTATAGCTAGATTAAGAATGTGAACAACACAATGATAGTGGCAAAAATTTTGTAAATTCCATTCTTGCTCTATGAGGTTTCTATATAGTACTATTACAGAATTATTATCTGTAGTAAAAGCAATTACTTTATTACTAATATTCATAGTATTACAAAGTTCATAGAGCTTTTTTTTTGTAGATATCGCAGTATGATTATACTCAAAATGAATAAGATCCAACAATAGTTGATATATTTGCTATTTGTTATCAATATAATGTATTGTGACCCCAAGAAATACTTGATTTAAAATTAATATTCAGATATCAGCAGTAAGCAAAACTTTGGTGATAAGGTTTCTGAGTTCTTTTGAAACAAGAGTATATTGAGTTTTAAATTGATTCATTATCTCCTTCTTTACATACTGACGTGACAGAAGCTTATATCTTGGGTCAAATATATTCACCATTTTTTGAAACCAGGGGTTTTCAACAACTGCAAATGGGAGCTGACAACAAACTATTCCTTAAACCGTCCGAGTTAAGCGGGCAAATTTGTCCGCTAAAATAATTGGAAGAAAAGTAAACATATAGCAAAATTTTTTTTTTGTTGAAAGACTAACCGAAATTGATTAGAGTAACTCCCGGGAACACAATGCATATGACAATACAATAGTATGTCATTGCATATACCATGTGACACAAGCGAAGATCGCAAGCAAAATTTCATAAAATATTTTGCATTTTTGTTAAGGAATATTTATTAGGTCAAAGCTTCTCAATCGCTCTGATAATTCAGCTTTGAATATTACAGACATAGATGAAATATCATCGTATGAAATGTGGGGACTTATTCATAATATTTTTTTTTTTGATTTTTTTAATAGTAAATTAATAGTGATTAATAAAGAATCGCTGTACTACTAGCATGCATATTTCTTGTAATATACTACTACTACATAATATAAAATCACAAGTTGATCTGCAAAATGGTATACTTTAATTCTAGCTTATAAAAGGGGTAGAAATGCTTAGAAAAATCTGGCACAATCATTTAAAAATCAAAAAAACAAGATTTTAGCGGGCAAATTTGCCCGCTAGACGGTTTAAGGGATAAGATTCAAAGTACTATTAAAACACTCTTTCTTAAGTTAAACATCTTCTTTACCATATAGCTTTTGGATCAAATTATTTTTTTTAGAGTAAGTTCTATATTATATTTATTATTTAGATAGTTATTTAAAATTCTAATAGTTGTTGTAAGGCTAAATTTCTGTCTACATTTTTCATATATTCTCGCAATAACCTTATCTCTCTCTTTTTGCTTACTCATAAAATTTCACACAGGTGATATTTTATTCTTGCTGTGATTTGTACTAAAACTGCTGTCTGATAAAACTTCTTGTGATAGCAACATAATAGCATTATTTTCTTCATCTTCAATACTATTAAGCAAATTAAATTCTTCCTCTTTGGAAGTAATATTGTCAATATAAACAAATTCTTCTTCAGAGGTAGTATAATAATCAGACATGTTAGTTTACTATAAATTTGATGATTTTTTTTTTCTTATCTGAATAGTTCTTTTTATAACTTTTGAAAAATTAGATAATATTAGATTATATGATACTATAAAAAAAACAATAATGACATTTAATTAGAGTGATATAATTAATTTAAAATAATTTATTAATTTATTTTATTAATTCGTTATATATTAATTATTAAATGACAGCCACCGCCTCTAAAATTATGATGTCCTCCACTTCTTGTAGGCCATTTTTAGAGGAGAATGATATAAGTGGACGGGTGGTCAAGTCCATTTATGCGGAGAACCAAGATAATGACAGTCAGACCAAACGTATATGGCAGACTATAGAATCCTTTGCAGCTATGAGAACCGAGCTTAAAACGGCGAGCGACCTTTTAGAAGAACATCCACTCAAGTTATTACCAACATCAATAGACTCCTATGACTTGGAAATATGCTACAACAAATTTCTTACTTATTACAAACTTCCCCTAC